TATCAAGCAACAAACCTGATGTGGGTTAAGGAATGGATAACACTAAGAAATACGAGATTATTGACATTAGAAGGACATGATTTGTTGTTAGAGTGGCATGCTTTCCTGTGGTACAAGGGAACTAAAACACAGGGGTATTTTAGAAGACATATATGTGAGGCTTTGTTATTAAACTGGGAGAAGACTGAAAAGCAATGCTATTTAAAAATTCCAGTCTTGTTATCGGCTATTGAAGCATTTTCTTATCCTATAATATATAAAAAGGAACAAACAGTTAGATATGGTGAAATATTGAATGAAAAGGGTGAACTTAAATCTATGCAAGCATTGGAAGAATAAGGTATAAAGATGAATTGGTTTTCATATGTGTAAATATGCTCTAGATATGATAAAGATTTTAAAACAGAAGGTTTTTATGATAAACTGACTGACTTAGATAAAATTTTGATAGGTACTGATGAAAAGGTGATTAAAAAACTATATGGACATTTATTAGAAATTAAGCTAGAAGAAGAACAAGTTAAAGAAACAATGATTGCTTGGGGGAAAAATTTTGGATATGGGATTGATTTAGATAAATGGCAAAAAGTGTGGTCAAAAAATTATAAAATGACAATGTCAACAGCATATAAAGAAAATTTGTATAAGATGTTTTACAGGTGGCACTTACCCCCAACAAGAATAGCAAAAATGTTCACGAACAAATCTGAAAAATGTTGGAAATGTCATCAGATACCAGGTTCATATTACCATATGTGGTGGACGTGTGCAGAAGCTAAAAGATATTGGACTAAAATCCACACATGGTTGGAAAAAAATGACAAAGAAACATATAGACTTGATACCAGAGATATTTTTATTGGGAATCTTATCTGAAATATACAGTAGGGAATTGAAATATTTGATTGTAAATTATTAACAGTGGCTAGGATTGTATTTGCTAAAAATTGGAAAAATGAGAAAATACCAATGCAGGAGGAAGTTATTAAGAAAATAATGGAATGTGCTGAAATGAGTAAATTGACATTTGAAATTAGAGAACAAGAAGATAAACAATTTTATGCTTTGGGATCTATTTTATCAATGGTTAGAAAATAAAATATGGTAATGAAATATGTAGAATTTTACAATATAAGGAGAATAGAATTACATAGAATACAATATAAAGATGTATTATTACTGGATGGATTTAGGATGATAATATGAATTGTGATAATATAAATCAATTTTAAAATATGGAACATCTCGCATAACATGAAGGAATAATAGTATAGTCAAATGAATGATTAACAATGATAATAATGTATTCAGAAATATTTGATTGATAATATGAGAATATATACAGACAATTGTAACTGAGGACTATGGAGAAGAGGCACATAAAATTTGTAACCAACTGACACGCTGTATGTATGTAATTGGAAGATGGCTTTATGTTTTTATGTTTTGTTTATGTATGTTTGTCTAAAAATAAAAAAAAATTATTAAAAAAAAGCAGGCTAGGAATGTAGCTGCCTTGGAGGGGGCGGGGTGAGGGAGAGAGAGAAAGAGAAAGAAAATCACCAGCCCTCGAGGTTAGATCAGGTCTGCTTTCCCCCCTCCCTCTGAAAACGGAGCTCAAAAGTAGGCTAGGAATGTAACTGCCTTGGTGTGTGTGTGTGAGAGAGAGACAGAGAGAGAGAGAGACAGAGAGAGAGGGAGGGAGGGAGAAAACATCACCAGCCCTCTGAGGTTAGATCAGATTCTTTCTCTCTCTCTCCCTCTCCCCCTTCCTCCTCCCACTAACGTCAGTAAGCCACGTCAATCAAAATTCATATTAGTGGTCCACGGGGTTTAAAATAATGAGTTTGGTGATCCCCGAGGTCCAAAAGGTTGGCGACCCCTGATCTAGCCCATAAAAGTAGCTTTAGCATTAACCTTCTATACTGCCGCAGTTATCAGCTATGACTTTTTCTGATAGAAATCTGAGAACATATGATTCCATTTTATAGCCTTCTAGCTTCATTGTTCTCCTAAGAAAATGGGCTGATCCTTCAAATTTCAGTCTGTGTTTGATTTGGTGTCCCAACCCTGTTCCTTGTCTATAATTACCAAATTGGACATGTAGAATATTGGTCTCTTCTCTCTTGATATAATGTTCCTCTGGTTATAGAGTGACCTCAATTTCTGCAACGATATTTTCTATGAACTTTCTTTACTGCCTAGGATTCCACATTTTCGATTCCTACTGTCTAGGATTCCACATTTTTCATTTATAAAAACATAAATGAAACAAATCTCAGAAGCAATCCATTGTACATGAAGAAGTGATACCAACTCAATCATGACATATAACTGGATGAATAATGTTAATTTTATAGTCCAGCTTGCAAATTGTAGGAACCCCGTTAGTCTTCCACTAACATTATGAAGCTTAAGGACAGCAGCTTTCTCAATGGAGAGATCAGTGGTTTGCATCCTCTCACCAAGCTGGCAATGGACAACCTCTGTTCCTGCTTTTGCATAGGAATTCTCTTTTTCTCTGCCCTGAAAGATTTGAACTATTCCAAAAGCACTCCATAGCCAATCAAATGCAGTCAGTTCTGGAGTGAGTTAAGCCAGGAGTGGCTACTTGGGAGTAATTTTGAGCAGCATTCTCTCCAAGTGTTCATATTGCACGTAGTAACTAGCAAAGGCCTATTTCCTTGGGGAACTGAAGCTCTCTAGTTTATACTTAACGTTCTGATTGCCAGAATTACGGGATGGCTGTGCCGGGAGGAGGGTAGAGAATTAGATTCTGTCTCTAATTAGATGTTTGCTCTTCATTTGAATTTCAGATGCTAGCTTTAATTTTAGAAACTTACCCAGGAAGCAAAATGACTTTCTCTAGCAAAGTGCACCTGGCTTCTTCAGTCTTTGTTTGATAGCTTGTCGGTATTATGAAGTGAGCATGGAGCGGGGCCAACTATTATCTCAGCACTTGAGAACCAAAACTTTTAGAGCCACCTCTCAATTTTTAGGGACATCTCCCATGAGTACCCTCTAGAGACACGGACTTCAGTTCCTAGGATTCCTCAGTTAGGTTGGCCATTATTGAAAATTCTGATATTTGAAATCTGCATATCTCAGAATTGTTCAGACTGGAAAAGCTGCTTTAGAATCTCCATGTAAATAAGGAAGTATATCTAAACTGCCAAAAAACATATCAATGGACAGCTCATGATTATGTATTATTATGTAATGGTTAAGGCATCAGGCTGGAAATTGGGAGACGGTGAGTTCTAGTCCTGCCTTGGATACAAAGCCAGTTGGGTGACCTTAAGCCAGTCATTTACTCTCAGTCCTAGAAAGTAGGTAATAGCAAATAACTTCCCAAAAACTTGCCAAGAAAACTGCAGGGACTAATTCAGGGGGTGGCCAGGAGTCAACACTAACAATAAAGCACACACAAGACTGGATCTAAATAAGATTTCTTTTAAGAAGAGATTAGACAATCATTTTTCTGAAATCATATACGATTTATTGTTTGAGAAGGAGGTTAGACTAGAAGTCCTCCAAGGTTCCTTCCAAGTCTGTCATTGTGTTACTGCTTGTAATATATCATTGTAGCTTCACTACATCCCAGGAAATGTAACCTGATGCAAACTTTGTGAAAAGATCTAATTAATCAACCACTTATATAAAGATCCATTTAATAAAGGAAAATATTTGTAGCTCACGGCTGAAATGAGAAGTCCTTGCTGCTTTCTGAACTTGGTTGTTTTCTAGCAGATGTTTCATTATCCAAACTAGGTAACACCATCAAGCATTGATGACGTTGCCCAGTTTGGGTAATGAAACGTCTGCAAGAATACAACCAAGTTCAGAGAGCAGCACGGACTCCTCAAAGATCCATCTTTTTTTGATAGATGATATCACTTTTGGGTAGCTTAATGAGAGAAGAGAATGTAGATGAGACAATCACATGACAAACATTTGCAGGAGACCAAACATATTGCCACAGCATCTCTTTAGCACTCAAGGAGATAGAAACAGATATATCTAGCTTATGGTAATGAATGGACAAGTAGTCAATAGCTTCTAAATTTATATTTTAATTACAAAGAAAGAAGGTGGGGTATTTTTTGGTGACTGCAAGTTAGCAGTTTTTATATACATGAATATTTTATATTTATATTTTATATAAATTTTATATTTATATTTTATATAAATATAAAACTTTTGAAGCTTCATAGCATAACCATATACTTTTCTTGTAAAAAGCAAATCTCTTTTGGGACTGCTGGATTTATTCCCAGATACAGGATTTCAGTGTGAATGCAGTATTTGATGTAAGCAACAATGACAGTATATATTTTCAATCAACTAACAATGATGGATGGTTTTGTTTTAGCATCTAAATCTTGTCCTCACTCTGCACCTTTTCTTTTCTTAAGGTTTCACTATGGTATTCTATCCTTAAATTTCTCTTATTTCAGCATTCCTTACCCTGGAAAGTACATTTATTGTTATGATATTGGATAAGACTACGCAGGAAGATTTTAGCACTTCTGAGCTGAAGAATAGAGAGCAAGTGACAAAAAAAAAAATCAAACCCCAAACCAGCAAAATGAAAAACCTGAACTAGGTTAACCAAGCAAGGAAGCAATGGGAATTTAAACCATGAAATAAAACTGTGAATCCATTTCAAAATGTAACAAAACTTACAAATATATATTCTTGTTCTGTTCTCCAACGCATCTCCCTGAAATCACCAAGACCGATGAGCAATTTTTTGTCCTACTTCTGTTCTTTGAAATTTCTCCTTGTTGAAATGTAGTTAAATGTTTACAACTTCCTTTCCATTACCAATTGATGAAGAAGAGTTGCAGGTTTGCAGCTCCACAACTTATTTTTCACCATCTTAAGCCCGTTAAATGAATGTAAGCTTTGAACAACTGTAGCAAAGTAAACCCTACAGAAATTAATACAGAATCCATTTACTGTGTAAAACAAAAGCAATGCAACTGGAAAATACTTACATATTCTGTATCAGCCTTGGAGTCATAATATTCAATATCTTCCTCCTGTAGATTAAAAGAAATAGGTGTGATAAATATAGTGCAAGATCCAGGAAGATTTTCCACCATGATAGGGGTTCCTAAATATTAGTTGGGTCCAAATATCACATAGGACCATGGGTCCCTGGGGAATTATCACAAAACTTTGGGAGACTTTTTTGAGGCAGGATGATAGTGGGCTGAGTTTGTGATTGGATTTTATTGATGGGGTGAAGGAACAATGCCAGAACATATGTCTGGAGGAGATTCCCCAGAAGAAGCTGCAACTCCACGACTTTTCCTTTGGGCTTTTGCTGTTAAGTCATAGTCTGTTGAATAGCTCATCATACTAAACCAGGGACACTCCACATTTCTTCTGATCAGTATCATGTAGATATATCATTTGGAAATGTATTGTAGAAACACCAGAGTATACTTGCCATGAAAGATGCTTATTGATGTAGCTGCATGAACAGTATGATCAGTTCCAAAAGAAAAATGCTTGGAGGTAGTGCATGGAGAGAGATAACTGAACTAGGGTTTCCGTAGACCAGAGAAGCTATTCTATGTTTAGAAGCAATTTTGTTGCAATCTATTACTTGAAAATCTACTTAAGTGTACACAAGATTTTTATGATTCATATTGATTACTTTTATTTAGTACCCTATGAGTATCACTGGGTGTCAGCCTTCACGATTTTCTCCCTTTGCTTTGCATCTTTCGGCTGTCATAAGTAATGGGGGGGAGGAGGGGGGAATGGGTATGGGAAGTGAGCTGGAGGTGTTACAAACCAGAACTGTATAAGCTGGGTGTGTGTGCGTGCGTGTGGAGAGATTCTTGCTTAGGTTTTTATCCTATGCTATGCACAGCTGCAACTCTTTATCAAAATATGTCAAGGTCAATGGACAGAGGCCTCATCACCACCTGGAGATGCCCACATGATGATATACACAACTTTTAATTGGATGAGCCAGTTGAACTATTGGGGATGGGAACGTTGCCATTACTTTGTATATGTGATTTACGCGTCCATTTTCTCAGATTCAGAATTCTTTTGTTGCTACCACTTGATTTCCAGTAAAAGATATCTTTTCTCTGATTAATGGAGTTTAAGTGTTTCTTTCTTGGATTTTGAATGGAGCACCAGCTGACACTGGGGATTGTACCTTATGATTTATGATTATTATTTATGTTCATGATTTATCACTTGTTGCTTGCATGTACACTGAGAGCTTATCCTTGTGTGTCCAAGCACACTTGGCCAATAAGAATTATCCTATCCTATCCTATTCTTGAAAGCCACATAGAAAGTGTTTAAATACAGTATGTAAATGATTTACAAACCACAATAGCTAGATACACAAAACATGGCATGATAGAAAGCAGCCACATTATGGCGACGTAGCTCCGTATACAGGTGAATTTGGATGGCTTAAGAAATCCCATAGAACAGAGGCGAATTACTAAATAAAAGCATACAAAATAATTGACATACTGCAGCTAAGTTCAAAGACATACCATTGCTAATCCATGTGTACGATCTACATAATTAAAGTAAAAAAACAAATGGGCTGTTTAAAATAAAATGAACAAATTTTGTCTTTACTCCCAAAAGGCCAGCTTTCACTCACTGTTTGCCTTTTTAAAAACTGCAGCAAGAATGAGAGCAGGTTGCGATGGGACTAGCTTAAAACCAAAGCCAATAACTTCTTTTCTGAGCCTGAACAATGGTGATAAAAATGCTATTAATAATTCTTTCCTCTCTTTGGAGAGCTGTCCTATGAACATATGATTCTACTTCCATTTCATGCCATCTTTTTTTTTATAATTCTGCTCTATGATGTTTCCACATCATTCATATATCTTTTTGAAAGGTATCTACTTCATAATTCATATTGAAATATGTATTTTAAATGATAGTATTTAAACATATTTATATTTTAATAAATTCACTTGCAACATTTAAATTGAGAGAGGACTGTTTTAATGTTCAAAGATTTGCAAAAGTCTTGCAAAAGTGTTTATTTTATTTATTATGTTTGATGAATATTGATGAATCATATATATATATATTGATATATATATAGACGAACACAATACAGAAGCCTGATGATGGCAGATGAGATTCTGCCGAAACGTTGCTACAACTTTAAAAGCACAACTACAATGACGTGGGATAATACCCGAACAAAGCTGAATACCATATACATACATACATACATACATACATACATACATACATACATACATATATTGATGAATCAGACTGACTCACAGTGATTTATAAGCAGATGCAACTAAATCCACTAAATTACAAAGAGGAAAAAGTAACCTAAACCAATAACTAATAAGCCAATATGGGAACCTTGAAGACCTTCTGAAAAAGTTCTATTTTGATGTCCTACTAGTGAATTCCAATTCTGTCTCTGAGAAGAAGCATTTCCTCAAGGTGAGAGTAGGCAAGAAAAAATACTATTGTAATTTTCCACCTTACACTTATGGGGGAAAATTCCTCACTAGGCGATGAATGGGTTGGCCCCATAAGGAGGAAGCCATCCTGGAGAAATCTGGAAGCTCTACCACACGTTAAAAATCAATATTTTGAATTGTACCTCGAAGCCTGTTGGAAATTCGATGCAGTGCCTATCACATTGGTTGTAGTTGTTTTCACCCACCAGTGGTTTTCACCCACAGGGATGTAGTTCATTTGTGATCTGGGCACTTCACAATCATCAGAGCCTTCTCATCCACCTAGGATCACAACTGGCAAAACAACTGAAGCTGGACAAAATGACCCTTGTGCATGTCCTTTACCAGGAGTTGTAATTCTAGGAAGACTCCTAAATCTTTCACTATCTCATTACAATGCTGAATTCAAGGACTACATTTCCAAAGGTCATATGAGTAGTTTATAATATTCCTCCTCCTAATTATGATTCTTTGAATGTATGAGAAGCCTGGAATATATTCATAGCCCTTAAGGAAGAATGTGTACTAATAGTGGAGATCTTAGACATTGCCCTTCCTTTTACCCAGAACTTCTAAACAGGCAATGAAATATTAGGGACTGAATTCATATTTTCAAAGAAGAACTGCATGCCATTAACTACGCAGTATTTAGAAATTATTTGCATAGAAAGCTGTGTTCTAATTTCTCTTCTATGCTAGGATACCCAGCAGCTGATAAAATTCATAAAGGGACCAGCAATTCAGAGAGCAGCAATGCTGTCAAAATATAATGCTCTATTCTATCAAAAGGGGTAATTAAAGGGCACTCAGAATTTGTATTCTACTGACAAGAATGGAGTGAGACAGAAGCTGCATTGGTAGTGCGCTCTCCTTTGCAGCTCACTCAGCACCAACACGGTTCCAAGGGCATCCCTCAGTGGCCCTGAAATTCTCACTGTCCTATTAGAAAAAAGGATGTTCTTCTGCATCTGGTCATGTTGTTACAAGGATTGTAACCCACTTTGGAGATTCCAGGGTACGCAGGAAATTGTATTTAGAACATGTCAAGAACTGCATCCTTTGGCTATTTAAATCCTTGGGATTATGGGTCACACATATAAAGTGTGAGAGAAATGTGTTAGAGTGAATAGGTATGCTTTCTCCTGGAAACCAAGGAAAGGCAGTGGACTGCTAAGAGCATGTTTCCCAAGCCATTTCTTCCCAGCTCTGTCTTTTATCCTTCAAAGAGGTATGGTCCATGGGAACTTTAGGGTTACATGGACAGAGAATTAACTTCTTAAAAGAGTAATGAATGGAGAATACATTTCAGATGGAAAACATCTCATTCCATAAGAAACAACACAATATATGTGTTCCCTCACAGATCCTGGCCATGTTCAAGGAGCCAGTTCTATTATTAAATAATCTGTGCCCTGTTGGGTCATAATTTCAGAGATCTTTCCTTATCTAAGGAATGACCAGGGGTGGGCAAAAAACAACAACAATGGGATTGGGAGCAAATTATGACTTCTTGTTGGCTTCCTATTGAGTTTTTGTATGAGAAGCTGGCAGAGAATGCCTGGAATTTATTTTCTTTCTTTCTTTCTTTCTTTCTTTCTTTCTTTCTTTCTTTCTTTCCTACCCCTCTCCTGGGATTGGTTGGGAAACTGTCACGGAACATTAAAAATGAGATTTTTGTGACCACAGCAACAGCCCAGCAGGGCAGTAGCAGCCAGTAGCACTGAAGCAGCCAATTTTCCCCAATTTTCATTCCCTGAGGAGTCATGGATCCCAGATTTTGGAGACATTCTGTAAGATAGCCCATTTGAAGCAACCTGATTAAAAAAGATTGCCCTATGATGTGCCATTTTTCCCAGTTAAAGTTCGTGACAATGAGAATTTCAGCAGGAGATAGATACAGATACAGAGATATATAGATAGCTATATAGACATAAAGGACAGGAAACAATGCCTTCCAAAATGTAGAACACAGACAATACGCTTCCTATTTCAACACTAGTTTCTATTCTTTTTCTAGCTATACCCACAACACCATTGTTGTACATAATAGTTTGTCTTACATGGCTTCAGAGCCTGTTTGGTTTTTGTACTGCACTTACTTGGTTCTTACAGTGCAGCTATCAGTGCATGATGCACAAAGGATTTCGTTCATCAGCTGGCTTGTTGCAAAGCCTAAAGATGATTAGAATTGGGAGCGAGTGACTGGCCCAAGGTCACAAAGCTGACTTCCATACCCAAGGGAGGGCTAAAATGATCTCCCTGCTCCTTGTCCAATACTTTAACCACTGTGCTATATACTGGCTCTCTTACCTAGACATCACTATGAGACATAAAATTTGGATGACAGTGAGGCAACTCAATTCACAGCTGTGAAGACAGCTTGAACCAACCAGAAGGAGTTGAGGACATATTTCTGGATGCTCTCTTCCAAGTGGATTGATCTAGCAGCAGATGCAGCATGCCCGCCCCCTATGTCAACTTTAATCACAGAGAGCAACAGACAGTTCCTAATAAGCATGTATTGGTAGTAAATAGATAAAAAGATTTTATTCTCAATG